TAATCTTCCTGACTGGATAATTATGTTACTGTCACTTTGCACTAATTGTCATTCCGTGTTAATAATTGTTTCCTAGACTCTGACCTGGTGAGGCTATCCAGGTGCTTGAAAACACCTTAACCTCCGAGGTATACCTTTGACTTTTCGACTTTTACAACACCTACAGCGATGGGGGTCATTGCAGTGTATAAAGGGCAATTTCTGCCGTACAGTAGTATTAAATCACATATAGCAAACTACATTCCTTTTGCACAGAGAGTATTTATATGTAAAGTTGCTAAATGTTACCCCCTTCGTCTCTACATGCATTAAGGATCGAACCATGGCATAGTAAGTGACCCGTTCGACAGATTTTATCAGAAGCGTGCAAAAATTAACTAAAAGCTTCCGAAGCGTGAAATTCTACAGTGAATTTCAATCACTCCATCAAAAGACGTTCATGTTTTTAGTCATTACGCTTTTATACTTCCTAGCTTAACAATCAATTTAAGGTCCATTGGTGATTTTCATTAACTGGAAAGTGCACTTTGTTACTCGGGATTGTCGTCCAACAGACGCAATGTTCGCTTTATTTCACTCAGTTACTTTGGTGTAGTTTTGGCCACCTACACAAGGGAATAAGATTGCATCAATTACTGGCATGGTGGTTAACCTTAACCTTAACCTTGGAACCATTCCCAAGGCACTATACTGTATGCAGCATTGTTCAGATACATTTCAAATAGTTTTATGTCCTGCAGAAAACACTATGGAGCTAAAAAAAAACTCATGATTGACAATGTTGGATGTACGAGTATGCTGTTATCATTGTACACCTGTCACTGGCGTTCATGTGTCCCTTTGTTTATTTTACTGAAAGTCTGTGACGTGTGACATAATCTTAAAACATTATGGTATTGCGAGATTATTCAAACAGATAGTCACGGTCACGCTCTTTAAGCAACCACTGTAAGCTATAAAAAAGCCCTTTCCAAACCAGCATTTAATTTATTTTGATATTAATCTTGTGGATTGATATTTCGTTGTTATAATCAATGGACGTTATCTTATCGATAAACCTATTTCTGGGTAATGTGATTGAAAACGTAATAAAATATCCACCTGGGTCTCTGAGATTCATTTGGTTCTGTTTACTTCTTTTAAATCCATAAACTCCTCTTACACCGGACTTAATTGAGATCGCTTGTAGAACAGACATTTGTCAACTATCAGCCCCTTCAAAGTTGGAGCTTTGAGTCCAGGGGCGTAACCAGACATACGCACGGATGCTCCGTGCGTATGATATATGTTTTTTTTTTTATTTATTTTTTTTTTGACCAAGCATGATATTATTCTCTATAAATTTAGTGTATTTTACACGGAATATAATCGAAAATCTCCTTCGATTGTAAGTTAAAATCACATGAATGCACTAATTCTCTGCATTAATTGTACAAGCGCTATTGTTTTGTCAGTGACAGCATGTAATAGTTAACATCAAATTTATACATCAGTGGTAATGACTTTTAAAATTACAGACTTCCCTTTTGTTACAAATATTTGGTAGTACGCCAACGTTCATTCGCCTTGCTGTCCAAAGGCCGGTGTAACAGACGTTATACTCTCAAAAGACCGGACATCAGAGAATTCTGCAAAATGAGCGCCATCTTATGAAGAAATCGAAACGGAGGATGTCTTCAAGAAATCACAGTGCGTTTCACGAAGACAAACCTCCTGATTTATAAACGGTCTCATTCCTTTGATAATAGCCATACAAAATGATAAGGCATTGTAATGAAAAATGGATGCGAACGTCATCATAGATTGATTCCAGATACTGTAATTGAAAGAATTACAAAATGGCCACCTGCGTCCAGAATGACTTATTATAGCAACCAATAAATCAAATGAAATCACATTTTTTTCATATCTCAGCATGAATTCGACGGATGCAAATGAGATTCAGCTGCAGGGCAAATAATTTGAAGCACTTAGACTGAAATAACGCAGCATTTTATTCAATTTTTTCGTGATAATATGCCTTTTTTGATTGGTGCATTAAAAATATTAAAAAAATTAATAACATTATAACACGCTTTTTAATGGGAAAATGGTTTTTATCTCCTATCTTGCACTTAGCTTGTAATTTGAAAGATATCAGTATAGTAATATATTGCAGACGTAACCTTTCACTGTGCCTCGATCATGAGTGGTTTGTGTATAAACCCAACTATCGTTACATTTCTTAATATCAAGTATCCATTTTGTTTGCAAACATCTTCAACTCAATAATCCAAATCATACTATTTTAAACTGTTCAACAATAACCGTTCACATATTGAGTATGGAATTGTATTGTAAATTATTTGATGAATTGTGCAAACATCAAAGGACCTTAGATTAATGTAACCTTAACAAAAATTAACCAAACACGAAGTGAAATCAGCATTCAGCTTAGTGTACAAGAGATGAAGCACGACACCGTAATCCGTCAGTTAGAGAGAAAGTAATCCACTTTACGACAATCTGTCACAAATGACCTCTCCGGTTTCCTGTTTCTCTGGAGCTTTAACGCGGATGTAGTCTCGTAGATTAAATAACGTCGCTCAGCATCGCGCTGTGCAGGGCCGCCGACGACCTCTACCACTCACTGGGTGACATTTCAACAGTGGCAAGATCCCCTTCATTAAAGGACGACCTTTAAATCAACCGTTAATGTCTCTGCATGTCGTAGACTTAACTTACGTCACTGTTAATCGTGATCAGACCCGCACTGAGAAATCATCGGATATATATCAACGTGACGTCACGAGATGATCTAATTGACTAAACAAGGTTCGTTAATTAGTCTTAAAATTACGAGATAGGTCTTCCCATGTGAACCACCACGTGGTCGGGACAGTTCGCGATTAGCCTGGTTTCGGTTGAACCATGTGGTCAGAGTCCAGAACATGGTTTAAGTTCAGTGATCTTTTACATCAATTTAAATTTGACCCAAATGCCAGGCTAACCTTTGTGATGTTAAATTTGCCTTTGGTTCATGCACGGAGTGCAGCTTCAATGAACATTTGAAGCATCCTCTAAACTTGCACATTTTGGAGAGTGAAGCAGTTTATCAATTCTTTATTCATTGACTCATCTTTCTTATGATGATAAGCTGTACTCAACCACATGTGATTCCAATGCAAAATACCAATGCAAATTTAGAACATTTTATTTATTACTTTATTATTTATATCATTATATATCATTAAGATTTTAATCTTATTATTATTTTATTGTTATTATTTTCAGATCGATAAATATGTTTCAGAGGTCTAGACTATCTGGCAAAACCCAAGCAGACCGCAGCCAATGAACGAGTTCTATTGAAGTTGCATTGGTGACAGTAAATGAAAATAAATGAGAAACTATTTCGTGGGTTACAGACGTAATTTTTCTCCAGTTCGGTTCCTTTTGAAAGTTTTCATATTACCACGCATTTTGTTTATTTACTACTTCAATAATGGGCATTAAGAGATATCTAAATGCCGACACATAAACAGCCATTTTTGTCTCACAGATACGCAATAAAACAAGGTTGAAAAAGAGAATCGTAAAAAGCAATCCAAAATGTGCACTGCTGTGAACATGACACTCGTTGATTTCTTTCTGGTCACTGAACACAGGTTCATCCAAGGAAACAAATTTCAGCTAAGCTTCAAGCTGCGTTCTCGGGAGGTGTTAAAAAGTGTTAAAATAGTTTTATTACTGTTGTAAGTAGAGCGTGCTGACTCGAAATGCCAAGACTTTTACACAGGCTTTAACCAGAATGGTGCGAAAAACATAGGACACACACTGCTAAGAGTAGTGGTATATAGTTTCCAATTACGGTGCACTTATCAGGTATTTGGCATAGATTTCCCTTCTTCATATTCACAAATCCTTGGAAATGAGCAGTAAATAGACTGGGTGTGAAAAATCGACAATTTTTACTGTATAAACGGTATCATTGTATCTTGTCTCGGTGGAGAAGGCTATACATCCTCTCTGTCTGTTCTGGGTAGATAACCATAAACGTGTTGCCTATAAAGAGTGCAGAAGTAAGAGAAAACATATCTACTCTAGCACTAGTATCACCTTAAAATATCGTTTATAGCAACGCTAAGAGCAATTGCTTGCTGTAGCACTAATACTGGAACATATTTGTTTGTGTGGTTGCAAGTGTCAATAGATGTTCTTAAAATAAAGTAAAAAACATGGGTGGGTGATATTTTAGAACCGATTATTCCTCTCGGTTCTGTTTTCAAACTTTGGATAATTTTAATATGCAAAAATCCTTCAAAATCGGTAATTTATTTTAGCCCAACCGCATAGTCCATATTGCACATACTGTATTACCACTATCATCAAATTATATAAGCAACAGGGCCATGCATCACAGAGAAAAAGATGGATAATCTTGGGAACTGTATCCAGGATTCGATACAGACACTGTAAAATCTATACTGCGAAAAACGATTAGATGAAACTTGATGAATGTTGACTTGGATGGTATTTTATAGCAGCGTTCAATAAGGTTCTACCCCAGGCATCTGACGGTGAAGCAGGTCTGGTTCTAGATATTCCCTTGGGAGATATCGACGTTTTGTTCTTTTTTTCTCTGCTTTTTAGGGACAGAAGCACATAATATTTCAAAAACACCTGTTTTTTTTTCTAGTACAGGTATATCCATAGACAATCTTGTTTTAAACGCGAATCGATTTTTTTTTAAATTAAACTATGAGCTATGTGTTAATTTGTACGCGAAATGGAGTGCAAAATCCATAGCTTTGCTTGAAATGATAATGGTACTGACCTGTAGGTGTAGCCGTCACGGAAATGTACTTGCGGTTGAAAGCGTCACAATGAAACCTTTGTCACTCCATGAACGTTTAAGGCAACTGAGCATTCCTTATGAATATATATGTGATCCCTGAGAGCCTGACATGAACTATCGACTACACAGATGAAGTAAGTGCTAAGAGTTTTAAATTACTTACAGAGTATTGTCTTCTCAGGTATTATCACGGAATGAAGAAAACCCAGCTTTTCCAACCGGCTGTTGTATCACTTGTATTCATCAATGGTTATTCTGTAAGATAAACAATGGAATATAAAAATTATTTGATGATTGAATAAAACATACGGTTTTATGTTAGCTCATTGTTTGACGGCGCAAATTATTAATATTGGGCTGTTGTGCAAATATTAATACAACAGAGTTAATAACATTGCGCAGGATTGACTAAGCTGGCAGCGCCATCACAAATAATTACCAACGGCAAAATATCACAAATAATTCACCGGGAATTGCCGTGCAAATATTGACAAAAGCAAATGAAATACACGCCTGTGGATTTAGTTTTTCTACTGCCTTACACATTCCAGCATTTTCTGTACTGGAACGTTACAGGCAAACGGTGGCTTGACTCTCTTGAATAAAAAAAAAGAAAAAAAAAAACAATCTATCATATTTACATAAATAAAGTGGCACAATACCATGCATAAAATCACTAAGATGAGAACGAACGGCTTTATTAGGAATCACACCCTTAGTAGGTGAAGCTACATTGTAACCAAGAATATACTACGGTATGTCGTTCGGTATAAACTGCAGTGGTTTGGACCAGCATCAAAAAGCTAAGGCACCAGGTACAGTAGACCAAGTCAATAAATTGAATAATTAAACTGGCACTGTTTTAAGAGTATTTGCATATTCAGGTTAACAACAAAGGCTTAGATAAATCATCACAACGTTTATAACTTATTGAAAGAAAACGATCATTGTCCCTAACAATGTAAAACGATACGTTCCGTTAAAAAAGAGTAAATAAATAACACGAATGCGTCATAAGGTGTTTTGATGTTGTTTCGAAACGTCAAACTTAAAAGGTAGTTCCAGTAGGAAAATATCGACTTTTAACATGCGTACAGAGGTGACAATGAAACACTTGCTTAACTGAATATCAACAATATTACGACGCTAAAGACCCGGACGGTTGAACGCTCTGATTCCACGGACTCGGGGAAAACCGTGTGCAAACATGTATGAGCTTAGCGACCATTAAACTGGTTAGCTTAACTTATTTGATTTGGTGCTAACGTTAATTTGAACATCATGACATTTTTAAATAAACAATGAATAACTCGATTTACCAAACTTGCTACCATTGGTCCCATTGGCTACGTGCAGTCCTAAATTGAAACAAATGAATACTGATCCTGTTGGTAAAAGTGATATGACAGACAGTGTAGTGCACGTGTTGACACTTCCTTATTCAAAAATCTTTGTCCTAGATGCACTCTGACGACTATACCTGTAGCACTTAGAGCTCTTGTTTCTAACGACGGTTCCCAGGATCTGTCTGAAGACTTAATCTGCTTTGATGCGCATCTTAAACTCATACAGTTATGCTATTGATTAATGTCGGTTTGGGATACGATTAAATAATACATTTTTCTTCAGTTCAGTAACACATATATCACACTTTACCACTCTCAATGTGATTCACTTGCATGATAAAAAGTCTTCAGCAAATAACATATGTTCCGTCTCAACTGCCACCAGCGTCAAACGCCTTTCTTCTGTTTGTAGTAAGCCAATTTCAACATATCAACTCACACATATATCACTTCTTTACACGGATATAGGGGGATTGTGCAAGTAAACGTGATGACAAGTGTTTGAAGTGTGCTTTGTTCATTTTCAACGCCTATGCCAGAAGCCTTATCGATGGATTTGCCATGGCAACGGAAACGGACCAAAGACGCCTCTAGCACTTCCACGGGGTTTCGATATGATTGCGTACAAGCACACCGCCAAGTACGTGTTTTTAAGAGGTACACTTCTTCGTGTTTTTTAGAAAAGGTTGGATTTGATGAATGATATCAATTGAAACACGTTTAGTTTGTTCATTAACGTTTAACAAGTTGAGAAATTGAAATTGAGATATAGCAAATGTCACGTAATTACGTAATAAATGTTACACGTGTATAGAAAAAAAGATAAACAAATATATACAAAATAAAATTACCCTGTATTCCATGAACTTGGTGCATGCTACATTTGATTAAAACGCTATCCCTACGTTCTAATGTATGTGTCATTGTGAGCAGTACAAAATACGCACGACTACGTCTAATGGACACGTATGGTATTTAGGACATTGACAACCATACCTGTAACGGACCCTTAAGGGATTCCAGCCGAAACCAACAAGCACCTTGTTGGCGTCTTAATGGCTAAGTGTATTGAATATATACCAATGGGGAGAACCCCGCCCACTTTTGTGTTCAGACAGATTACACGTAAAAGATGTCCTCACATCATTAAAATACGAAATGGGGGATTGGTCCTGAGGGGAATGGTCCACTGGTGGGATGTATAGCATACAAGAAAAGTAAGGGACGTTAATTAGTGTGGATACATTTGCCTGAGTCACAATTTTAATAAATGTGGTATTCCGATCCTCGGGTGACATGTATTGACAAATCACCATGCAACGTACCGGATGAAGCCAACGACTAAATTAAGCTGTAGATAATCTAACTCTGGACTGTTTGGAAACGGTCCCATCCCTTTCACAAATAAGTGATATCCCCTGACAGAATGACTGGTCTTAATACACAGAAGGCAGGCAGTCCCGAGATACAATTTCTAAAGGTGACTCATATTTAAAGGGATAATAACTCTTCGTATGAGATCTATATTTCACAATAAAAACATTGTGAACAACTCATAGAAATATAATATATTCTGTTTTACCACAAAAACAGCAGTTATAGCTATTATTCTGATATCTGAGCNGTAATAAATGTTACACGTGTATAGAAAAAAGATAAACAAATATATACAAAATGAAATTACCCTGTATTCCATGAACTTGGTGCATGCTACATTTGATTAAAACGCTATCCCTACGTTCTAATGTATGTGTCATTGTGAGCAGTACAAAATACGCACGACTACGTCTAATGGACACGTATGGTATTTAGGACATTGACAACCATACCTGTAACGGACCCTTAAGGGATTCCAGCCGAAACCAACAAGCACCTTGTTGGCGTCTTAATGGCTAAGTGTATTGAATATATATATCAAAGGGGAGAACCCCGCCCACTTTTGTGTTCAGACAGATTACACGTAAAAGATGTCCTCACATCATTAAAATACGAAATGGGGGATTGGTCCTGAGGGAAATGGTACACTGGTGGGATGTATAGCATACAAGAAAAGTAAGGGACGTTAATTAGTGTGGATACATTTACCTGAGTCACAATTTTAATAAATGTGGTGTTCCGATCCTCGGGTGACATGTATTGACAAATCACCATGCAACGTACCGGATGAAGCCAACGACTAAATTAAGCTGTAGATAATCTAACTCTGGGCTGTTTGGAAACGGTCCCATCCCTTTCACAAATAAGTGATATCCCCTGACAGAATGACTGGTCTTAATACACAGAAGGCAGGCAGTCCCGAGATACAATTTCTAAAGGTGACTCATATTTAAAGGGATAATAACTCTTCGTATGAGATCTATATTTCACAATAAAAACATTGTGAACAACTCATAGAAATATAATATATTCTGTTGTACCACAAAAACAGCAGTAATAGCTATTATTCTGATATCTGAGCTTGTATTTAGACCACGTGACCTCCATTGATGGCTATACTCTGTTAAAATCTCTTAAGAGATTTTAACAAAAAACCAAACTTTTTAGAAAAAAAACAGGGACTAACTTTGAATGTAAAAATGGGTTCATTAACCATTGGCTAGTATAGGAAAATTGTTGTTTACTCCAGAAAAATTCATTTTTTGGGCAAAACCAAGACTTATTATCCTTTTAAATAAAACAACCCAAAGTAAGTAGGACATAGCTACTTGAAGCTGCCTGTTCCAATGGCTGGTCATTTGTCTTTCCAATTAGAAGAAAGTACTCATTACTGCCTCAGGAATGTGAGAACTGCGTGCTTAACAATATACAGAAAGATTTTATGTATGATGATTAAGAGAGCCGTATGTAATTGTAAACTGAAGTGCTTATAGACACGAAATTCACATTTGTCATGTCAATTGTCAATTGTCAAAATGAATAATTGTTAACTGCAGTGATTAACAGCAACATAATACTCACACTGAATGATTACACGACAATCAGATTTGACAATCAGATGATTTTCTGAATGAAGAACTAAGCAAACTACTTCTTACGAACACATTTAGATACAATCCAATCTTAAATGTATGGGTATGCGTCGCCGTGAATAACCAACTGCGTTGACAATTAAGACTGTCCTTGTTGATCATATCCCATGTGCATGTGATATATTTCCCTACAAAGACGTTTTCTTTTAGATCTGTGGTCGATCAATTGAGAAAGTGCAACTCTAACGACATGTGATCTGTCTGGGTTTTTGACACGCCCGTCAATATCAACTAATTTTGATATGAGTACTAACTATTTTACCGGATGTATGGGGCAGTGAAAGTATATGGCATATAACGTCGGTGCATGCAGTTACAGTGAATTGAATTGGAATTACAAATGACATCAGGGATAAACAGCTTCGCCAGCGTTAAACTTGGTTACCATAAGGACCATTCCCACAGATATTCGGATCGAACTATCTCCCTGGGGAGTCTCACTAAATGTCTGTCACGCCTAGTAAAGCTGTAAGGGGTAATTATCTCTACCTCCTAGCTGATTCGGTAGGCGTGACAGACAATTAAGCCGGTTAGGTTGATAGCAGTTTACTGAGACTACCCAGGGAGTTAGACCGATCCGGATGGATCGATCTAGGCATGGGAACCCAGTCATAGCCTAAATCGTGCTGATCCCTGGTAAATGAAGTGTATTTCTAGGGCGATGACCTGATACGCGTCTCTTTAGAATACACATCACACGAGTCATTGTCCACGTTCGTCATGTGCAGGGCCAAACGCGAGTTTCTGATACGGGACCAACTTTATAGAATCTGTTTTTCGAGATAAACCGGGCTTAAATTGCGGCGTGGTTACCTCAAGGGGTCATTTATTGAGTGGTGGATATTAAAACATTTGCCTTCTATGGTTATGTCCGATAACA